TGAATGGATAGAGAAGAGGTGGTATATAAATACAGTGGAATACTACTCAGCCATCAAAAAGAATGAAATCTTGCCATTTGCACCGACATGGAAAGAACTAGAGGGTATTATGCTAATGGAAATAAGTCCATCAGAGAAAGACAAATAGCATATGATTTCACTCATATGTGGAATTCAAGAAACAAAACAGAGGAACATGGTGAAGGGAAGGAAAAATTAACATAAGATAAAAATAGAGAAGGAGGCAAACCATAAGAGATGTTGAACTCTAGGAAACAGAGGGCTGCTGGAAGGGAGGTGGGAGGGGTGAAGGGATAATTGGGTGATGGGCATTAAGGAGGGCACTTGATATAATGACCACTGGGTGTTATACCCAACTGATGAATCACTAAATTCTACCCCTGAAACTAATAATATAGCTTATGTTAACTAAATTGAACTTAAATAAAGAATTACAAAATAAATAAATAAATAAACAAACAAACATGGTTTAAAGCAAAAAATAGTCATTGTCATCATCAGAGTCCCACAGTCCTTAGCTACCCAGTAGAGGACAACAAGCAGCCATTCTCACCCCGAGTCAATCCAGACTTAACTCTGAACTATTTCCATATCATTTCCAACATATCTATTCTTTCTGCTTCTGATGCATTTTGCTGCTAACTTGAATTCTAGAAAATGGTTTGTTTTGCTTAAAAACGACGATGAGGGGTGCCTGGGTGGCTCAGTCCTTAGGCATCTGCCTTTGGCTCAGGTCATGATCCCAAGGTCCTGGGATCAAGCCCCGCATCCGGCTCCCTGCTCCGTGGGAAACCTGCTTCTCCCTCTCCCACTCCCCATGCTTGTGTTCCCTCTCTCACTGTGTCTCTCTCTGTCAAATAGATAAATAAAATCTTTAAAAAATAAATTAATTAATTAAAAAAAAAAACGACGATGAATGAACAACTAAGAGATTCTGGACTAAACATGTTCTATTTGACAATTTAAGCCAGACTTGCCTATTGGCCAAGTTATAATTTAGTTTCACAGATGGGCATTGACTCTTTCAGACTTAGAGGTACATGGGACATCGGCCCATCTATGCTGTGATGAGAGGTGGGGCTTTTACTGGTAACCAAAGGGTAAGGGTTGGAGCCTCAGTGCTCATGTGTTTTCATGTGAATATGTAATTGGGAGCAGTGGGAGGATTACTGGACATACTGCTTATTCTTGAGAGAACATGTTAACTGAGGCTAATATCTCACTTCTGCTTAAAATCCCTCAAAATGTCTTCAATGAACATGGAATACATTACGAATAAGAAAAAACAACCAAGGAACTATTTTTTAAAAATATCTTTTACTGGCTCCTCTTGGCCGATGGGATGAACTACAAGTGCCTGAGCATGAATCTGACCCTGACCTTTATATATATATATACACTTAGAGCCTCATCTCTTGCTGTGTCCTGCCTTCAACCCTCAGCTACAGCAATGTTCATCATGTTCTTTCTTATTTCCTTCTTTTTTTTTTATGTTATGTTAATCACCATACATTACATCATTAGTTTTTGATGTAGTATTCCGTGATTCATTGTTTGCGTATAACACCCAGTGCTCCATTCAGGTGTGCCCTCTTTAATACCCATCACCAGGCTAACCCATCCCCCACCCTCTCCCCTCTAGAACCCTCAGTTTGTTTCTCAGAGTCCATAGTCTCTCATGGTTCATCTCCCCCTCTGATTTCCCCCCTTCATTTTTCCTTTCCTGCTATCTTCTTTTTTTTTCTTTAACATATAATGTATCTGTTAAATCGCAGACCTGTACCCCTGAAACAAATAATACCTATTTCCTTCTTTCTGTGTGCAGTGTCTCCTCTATGCCTGACACTCATTTTACCCTCTTTCAGCCTCAAGTCCCTTTTCCACACCTCCCCCAACTCCAGGCTGGATCAGGGGCCTCTCTCTGCTGTGTTTCCATAAACTCTGAACATTGCACCTCCTCCCATGCATTATTGTTCTTGTGCGTCTGTTCCCCTCACTAGACTCTATCTTCAACACTAGACACATAAAAGACAACCAATGTAAGTTTGTTGGATAAAATGACTATTTCAGGGCATACCAGAGGTTAGAAAATAATTTTAAGTAACCCCCAAACTGTAATAATCTAATGTAGTATCTACTTACTACCAGAAATGCCCATTAGCAAACAGGAAAGTAGAATAATTTTTGCAAATAGGTATACATAAATGTGAACAGATTCTTTGAATTCTGCTATTAGTTTTAATAAATTGTTGGAATTGTTGGTTCCTATAGTAAATTTTTGAGAGATATACCAACTGGGGCTATTTGGTGTTTAATATTTTGTTTGCTTTCTAATGCCATGTCAGTGGGGAAACTGTGTACTCGCTTCGGTAAACTGATTCTGAGTGTCTTATTCCTTTATGTTCATGAGATGCATATAAGTGCACTTAATAGGGGCGCCTGGTGGCTCAGTCACTTAAGTGGCCAACTCTTGCTTTCGGCTCAGGTCATGATCTCAGGGTTGTGGGATCCAGCCCCACGTGGGGCTCCATGCTCAGTAGGAGTCTGCTTCTCTCCCTCTCCCTCTGCCCCTCCCCTCCCTCACAACACACTCTTTCTCTCAAATAAATAAATAAATCTTAAAAAAAAAAAATAAGTACACTTAATAGATGCTTCTTGCAGTGCTTGATAAGAATGTTATTTTACAAGTCTGAGTTTCCAGGGCAAATCCTATTTATGGCATTAGAGCCTTATTCTCTTCTAGCTAATATAATAAAGTTTAAATTAGAACTATAAGTAAAACTTATAGGGGTGCCTGGGTGGCTCAGCTGGGTAAGTGTCTGACTCTTGATTTCGGCTCAGGTCATGATTTCAGGGTTTTGAGATGGAGGCCCACTGAGCATGGAGCCTGCTTAAGAGTCTCTCCCTCTCCCTCTACCCCTCCCTCCCCCTTCTCTCTCTCCCACTGTCCAATAAATAAATAAATAAATAAATAAATAAATAAATAAAACATATACATATATAAATCAGATTCAAGAATAAATAAATATAGAATATGAGACCTTAAGGTACTATAGACCGTTTAACTTTTCCCTTTACACATAAGGAACTGATGCCCCTAGGGGTTAATTATCATTCCCTGAAAGCATCAGGATAAGGATCTTACTTCAAGGTGAATGTGAATATTAAAGCAAGAGGAAGTGTATTAAGACTTTATGGGTTTCGGGAGCCTGGGTGGCTCAGTCGTTGGGCGTCTGCCTTCGGCTCGGGTCATGATCCCAGAGTCATGGGATCGAGCCCCGCATCAGGCTCCCTGCTCCACGGGAAGCCTGCTTCTCCCTCTCCACTCCCCCTGCTTGTGTTCCTCCCTCTCTCGCTGTGTCTCTCTCTGTCAAATAAATAAAATCTTAAAAAAAAAAAAAAAGACTTTACGGGTTTCAAGGAAGAAACCCACCCATGCAATCTTGAGTAACGGAGCTTATTCCTGAAGTCAAAGCAGTGCTCAGAGGCTTTGCCATTGCGCCTAGCATTTCTGTTGCCCCCGCGGTCCTACGCTTGCTCCTCCCATCTCTAGACAATGAGACTCCAATTGGGTCAGTGATTTGGTTACCAATCACTAAGGAGCATTCCTGCTGGGAAACCTGTGGCACAGACGTTAATATTGGATCCTATTAGTTTTAGTCAAAGTAAGACAGTTGTTTTGGGTCAATATATGGGCTTTGTAAACTGTATAGCAGGCTTACGCAGGAAGAATTCCCTAAACTTCTGTGGAAGGAAGGCAGGACTTCAGGGAGGTGCAGGCCCTTTGTGCTTCCTGGACCTTACCAGTGTGGGGAGTAAAAGACATTTGTCTGTAAAATATGGAATGGGAAAGGAGAACTAAATCACAGCTAAGCTCAAATTGAGTTAGTTTGCAAATGGAAAGAGTGGTAAATGTTCTGCCCTTAAGAAACTACTCACAAATACTATGGCTTTTGGGCAAATCAACCAACACTATCAACCTCTGTTTTGCTGCTGATGATGATACATATTTACCTTGCCTAGTAGTTGTGCATACCGGTGATAATGTATGTTAAATGACCATCACTGTGTAGGGGCTGCAGGTAAGGTAACTGTTATGATTATTACTACTACGAGACTGCAACTATGCTGTAATTATTTGTACTACCCAAGTACATAAAACTACTTTTACTGCTACGTTGTTACATGCCAGTAGTTTGTAATTGAGTGGTCTTCTGTGCTCGGACAACAGGAGGGAGGGCTTTGCAAGTGATTTGCAAGAAGGTATAGAAATTCTTTCTTGGTGTGCAATGGTTAAAATCATGGGCTTTATGGGGTTACTACGTACTTCTTAGCTGTGACATCTTAGACAGGTTATTTAAACTTGTGTGCCTCAGTGATCTCATCTGTAAAATGGGGATAATAATACCTCCTATCACAACAAGCTCTTGGGAGGATTAAATGAGATCATCTAAGTACTGCTTAGAATACTGCCCAGCATGCAATGAACACTTAATACACTTTCTCTGTTAGGTTATTAATGTATTAAATGTGTGTTGGATCCTCATAACTACCTCGTGAGATAACAGGCCTCATTATCTTTATTTCATGTTCACCAAGACTGAGACTATGATTTGTTGTGAGTGGCAGTGGTGGGGCTGCTGAAAGAGCTTCTCTCCCTTCTTACCTTTTCTTTCCTCCCTCCCTTTGACATATATCTATCTGTTGGACTGGAATCGTACACAATAATTCCTGCCTAGATGATTGGGATTTCTGACATCTGATTCCTCTTTCATTTTCTTTCCCCTAGCGCCCCACCCCCATGCTTGGTGGAGCACTTATACTCTTGTCTTTTGCTACTAGTCTCTAACTACCTGCTGTCATTTCCAAAGCCCCAAGTTTTCATTTGAATCTTCATACTTGAGAAATCAATGGGGTCAAGGAAACAAGAACCAGTGTTTACATAAGTGTTTATTGGACTTTTCTTTCTCATCTTTCAGGTCTTGTAGAAATTTGCCTGATGCACCCCCTCGATGTGGTGAAAACCAGGTAAGGTTCTGCATGAACAAGTCTTATTGACTTTGGCTGATATCCAAATTAAGATCTGTCAGAACACTAAATGCTAGAACTTGCCCTAGGCCGGTAGCTTCTCCCAATAATGGCATTTATATTTACTTCTGAAAGAAAATGCTATTTGACAGATAAAATATGAACAGGGAAAAAGCATTTTTGGATAGAGGTCATCTGAAAGTGTATGGTATTTTACTGCCTTCACATGACAACCATAAGGTATGATTTGTGGCGAAGCTGGTAAGCAAAGTAAATTTATCAAAATGATGCAGAAACTAAACTTTAGTGAATTATGACAGCAGACTTTCATTTGGCATTGCATGTAACAGATTTCTATTTAATAGCATTTTGGTGTGAGACTCCAAACTTTCAAGTAAACTCCTCAAATGGTGCTTAAAGAATTTATTCCTACAACTGTTTGCCAATGCAAAATGCCATATTTCTAGGAAAATGCATTTGCTCTTGCAGGGAAACACAAATCAGGGCAATGTTTTAAAACTATTTACAGAGTGAAAAAAGAAATCATGTGGGTTTTAATATGATCTAGAGCATTTTTTTAAAAAAGTTAAATCTGTGGCTGAATTACTGAACTCTCTATTTTCTAAAATTAGAAGCTGTTACAGTTGAGTGAAAGTTTCCATTTATTTGCCTTGTGTAAAACCCAAGAACACCATACCTGGGTTGGCGCTCCATAGCAAACAGTGCCTTACAACAATGGTGGTCGAACAAACCAAAGTTAGAAAATGCTTAAAGCATCAGGCTAATTATTTAATGGACATGTTGCTTAATTTACCTAAAGCAGCAGAATCTTCAGCTGGCTGCTGAAAGCAAGGGAAAGTGGCTATATCATGCAAATAATATTACATTTCTAAAGGAGATAGAGGAGCTGAGAATTTGGCCTCTGTCTTAGCTCAGGCAAATGTAACAAAATACTATAGATTGGGTGGCTTAAGCAGCAGACATTTATTATTGTTCTGGAGGCTGGGAAGTCAAGGATCAAAGTAGTGGTCATTTTGGTTCTTGGCGAAGGCCCACTACCTGACTTGTAAACACCTTCTTGTTGTATCTTCACATGAGGGAGAGAGGCAGCTCTGCTGTCTCTCCCTCTACTTATAAGAGCATTGATCCCATCGCTGGGGCGCCACCTCATCTAACCTCATGACATCATCTAAACCTAACTACCTCCCCAAAGGCCCCACCTCCAAATACCATCACACTGGGGTTAGGGCTCCAATATATGGATTTAGGGGGATGCAAATGTTCAGTCCATAACAGCCTCAAATCACCAAACCCACATGGAGAAAGAAAACCACAAATTACATTCAAATGTAAAATTACATGCACTCCCTGGGCCATCTTTTTATAGGGTTCAAAACAGAATGCAAAACTCACTGGCATTTCCTTCTTGGATTCCATACTAACCTTTGAAAAGCCAGAATATTGTTGCTAGCCTCTCTGAGGAATAAATTGTCTCTCTTAAGGGTAATTTCCTAAATTAGCAAAGTGTTCAAGGGAGCATACAGGAGAAATAAGAATGATTTAAATAAGACATGATATTGAAATTGCAGTTATTCATTCATTCATTCAGTTATTCATTCATTCACTTATTAAGTATCTAGTGTGTGTGGGTTCCAAGCAAGCTCTGTCCTCAAAGAGTTCACAGTCTGATGAGTTAATATAAATTTCAAAAACTATATTATTTCGTGGTACTGGATTTGAATAGAATATTTCTTGAAATGGATGTGCCAAGTTGCTGGGGCTTTATATCCTCTTTGTTACATAGGTATTTTCATGAAAATGGCATTCATTGATTGGAATTAGTCACATGCTCTTGTCTAACTTCAGGGAGGGAAATATAATTCTTCCAGATGCCCTGAAGAAGAAGGGAATTGGATATGGGATTACTTTTGACCTGCATAACAATAAAAAGTATGTTGAATAAAGACTCACAATCATAGAGTAAACGAAAGTCCAAAATAATATGCAACTGACTTTGCAACAGAAGTAGAATGTGCAAAGGTTGGGAGCATTTATCACTGGGTACTTACACACAGGTGATAGGGAGTGGACAGGACAGACTAGATGTGGACAGGACAGACTAGATGCTGTAATCTTTTCACTATTATATTGGACAGGAGATGACTGTATTTCTAAATAAGATAGACTGTAAACTGTAAAAGATAATACATGAAACCATGTAACATTAGTCATTTTAGCAGGTCACTTTCCTTAATGTCATCAAGGGCACTGGATTCTAAATTGTTGCCAGCATTGTCAAAGTGGGGGTAATGTATACCAGACCAAACCTCACTTCCTTCACAGTTTCTTTGTGGGCTGCTTTTGCCTCTCCCTGGATATTATTACTTGAAGGGTAGTACAGTGACTGAATCTGAGTATGGAAATGGTTCATTTTCAACAATATCTCATGTGCTGAAGTATATAGCAAAATAAGTGTTTACTTCTTAGAGTTTAGTGTTTTCTTTTTGGGTTCTATTTGTGGCCTAATTCTTTTCTTTGTTGAATGAAAGATAACAGATTCTAAAAATGCATTTCCAAAGTCATCCTTTACAGGGATCTCTTTCTTTCTTTTTTAACTTTGTAAATCTTCCTTTCTTTTTTAACTTTGTAATGATCAATTCTGTTACCCCAGGCTGAGGGCAAAGGGAGGGGGTGGTATGACCTGAGCCCAAGGGTCAAGGTTACCTGGTGGAAGCTAGAACTGTAGTAGATCTGTGTAGTGGTAGCTGGAGCCCCAACCATTGCCATGTTCACTGCCCGAGGCAGACAGGGAGGGAGAAAAATCCTCTACTTTCTCCTTTCTCCCCAGTCTTCAATCTCCCACCAGTGCTTCTATTTGCTGAACCATGGAAGTCAAGAAGCCCAGCCTAGCAGAGGGCAGTCTTTCTGTATAATAAAGCAGAGCAGAACGAGGGAGGAACAAGAAACGGATCTGAAGACAAACAGAACCAGGACTGAAAAGCTGTCATTTTAGTGAGGTTTGGAGAAAGATCTGACATAAGCAAGCATTTTCTTTTCTTCCTGTTTTTTTTTATTGAGATATAATTGACATATCATTATGTTAGTGTTAGGTGTACAACATAATAATTTGATATTTATATATATTGCAAAATGATCACCACAGTAAGTTTAGTTAACATCTGACACCATACATAGTTACAAATTTTTTTCTTGTGATAAGAACTTTTAAGATCTATTCTCTTAGCAACTTTCAAATATGCAATACAGTATTATTAACTATATCACCATGCTGCACATGACATCCCCAGGGCTTATTTATTTTATAACTGGAAGTTTGTACCTTTTGACCCCCTTCACGCATTTCACCCACCCCCCACCTCCAGGCTCTGGCAACCACCAATCTGTTCTTTTTATCTATAAGTTTCATTTCTTTCTTTCTTTTTCTTTTTTTTCTTTTTCAGATTTCACATGTAAGTGAGATCATATGGTAGTTGTTTTTCTGTCTGACTGATTTCACTTAGCGTAATGCCCTCAAGGTCCATCCATGTTGTCGCAAATGGCAGGATTTCCTTCTTTTTTATGACTAAACAATATCCATTGTATATAGTGTATATTGTATATATATATATATGTATGTACAAAATATATACATATATATGTATGTACATACACGTATATATGCCACATTTTCTTTACCCATTCATCCATTGATGGACACTTAGATTTCAAGCATGCATTTTCAATTTATCAGTTTTAATATGCACTCACTTTGCATTTTAAAAGATGATTAGAAGTTATAATCGATAAAGGATTTCAGGCACTGTGGCACTTGCCTTTATATAAGAAATGCTGTATTCTGCTTCATATAAGTGTAGCTCCAGGGATAGACCTAATGTAAGCATAGGCTAGCCACATGACAACTGCCTTGTTCCAAATGTGCCCACCTTATTTTATTTTTTTTTGCATTTTTTTATTACGTTATGTTAATCACCATATATTACATCATTAGTTTTTGATGTAGTGTTCCATGATTCATTGTTTGCGTATAACACCCAGTGCTCCATTCAGTACGTGCCCTTTTTAATACCCATCACCAGGCTAACCCATCCTCCCAACCCCTCCCCTCTAGAACCCTCAGTTTGTTTCTCAGAGTCCATCGTCTCTCATGGTTCATCTCCCCCCTCCAATCTCCCTCTCCTTCATTCTTCCCTTCCTACTATCTTCTTCTTTTTTTTAACATATAATATATTATTTGTTTCAGAGGTACAGGTCTGTGATTTTAGCAGAGGAGATTTGGCTAAGATGCTATATACATGGCAGTTATGTAGAATCAAGCTGTCCTTTGAGATTCTTCCTAGAAACATGCATATACACTCTTTTATAGTTCTTTTATAGTTTGTATACAAGAAACTTTGTATACAATTGTGGGTGGACCCTCTGGTTAAGAACGCATAACTACAAATGATGAAAGACTCTATGCACTTGTATAACTGGGAAGACCAAAGGTAGTTTCTGGCTTTGTACTCCAGGGATTCAAATAAAATCTCTCTCATATCCTCTCTCTCTCTCTCTCTCTCCCTCTCTCCCTTTAGCTTTCCTTTTCCTATATAGGCTTCATTTGAGGGTGGGGTGCTTCTCTTACTTGACACCAAATGGTCCCGGCAGCTTCGAGCTTACATGGGCTTTGGCATTTGTGTGTACTCTTAAGAACTCCGGCTGTAGAATTAGGCAGCCTGGGTTCAAATCCTGCTTCTTCACTTATTATCTGCATAACATCAGGTAAGTTACTAAACTTCCCTGTGCCTAAGTTTCCCAAGCTTTAAATGGGAACAACCACGGCATCTACATCACCGTGAGAAATAAATGAGGGTATACACATAGATGGTGTTTATATATACATATGCTTATAAGGTGTTTTATACTATATCAGCAAAGGAAAGGGGACTGCAGAGACAAATAGAGTTTGTGAGGTAGTCAAGGGAACACAAGGGAGAATAAAA